CAACAGATGCTAATTTGGAGATAAAAGAAGCATTTCTCAATTGTAAAAGTATCTTCCTCTAACAGAAGGATGCTGGACTAGATAACTGCACATCTTCAAAATATATGCTGCAAAGGACTGTTTTACAAATATTTCTGGGCTTCCCCCCCACCTCAGTTTGTTCCCCTCTCCTCCTGAAGACATCAATTTGACCTAAGATGCAGCTCCACGTGCCTTCTATACTATTGTATCATTGAAATGGGCACCCTTCAAGTATGGAGCTAAAGAGTAAATATAGGAAGGCTATTTAATCGTGAAACATCACAAAGAGGTACACTAACTAGAAAATTAGTTTGTGTATATGGACAAGCATGAATTCTAGTACTCAGCACGGGAACCATATCATGGGGAAACTGGAACAGGAATTTCTTTCTGGTCTGCTCAGCTCAATTTTATATATAAAAAAAATTCATTCATGGGATCTGGGCAACAAGACTTTATGGCCTCTCTCTGTTTGCCCTTGAGAAGGTGGTGGTGAACTGTTTTCTCGAATTGCTGCACTCCATTTGGTGAGGGCATATACACAATGCCATTAGTGGGGGGTGGGAGTTCCAGGATTTTCACCCAGCAACACTTTCAGAGCAGCAATGTATTTCCTAGTCAGGGGCGAGTGGCTTGGAGGAGAACTTGCAGGTCGTATTCCCATATATCTGTTGCCTTTGTCATTCTAGATAGTGGTTGTATGTTTGGAAGATGCTGTCTAAGTAGCCTTGATGAATTGTTGCAGTGCATCATGTAAATGGTACACACTGCTGCTACTGAGCATTTACGGACAGAGGGAGTGAATGTTTATCGATGTGTGAATCGAGCAGTCTGTGTGTCCAGATGATGTCAAGCTTCGAGTGTTGTCAGAGTTGCAATCATCCAGTTAAATGGGGAACATTCCAACACACTCCTTACTTGCGTCTTGTGGATGAAGGAGAGGCTTTGGGCAGTCACGATGTAGAGTTACTTGCAGGAACCAGATCTTATTACATTTGGACATGGATTCCTTCAGTATCTGAGGAATCATAAGTGGTAATGAACATTCTGCAATCATCAGCAAATGTTCCCACTTGACCGTATGAAGAGGGGAGGTCAAACAGCTGAAGGTGGTTGGGCCTTGAACACAACTTTGAGGAACTTTTGCAGAGATTTACTGGACACAAGGTGACTGATTTCCAACATTCCCATTAACTCTAGTTTTACTAGGACTCCTCCATGTCACAATTATCCAAGTGGAGCCTTGATGTTAAGGGCAATCACTTTCACAGTATCTGGAATTTAGTTCTTTTATCCAAGATTGAACCAAGGCTGTAATGGGGTCAGGAGCTGAGGGACTCTAGCAGAATCCAAATTGAGTGTCACGAAGCAGATTATTACTAAGCAAATGCTGCTTGATGGCGCTGTTGACAACACCTTCCATCACTTGACTGATGGCATTCCACACTGAACACACTCCAACTAAAGAATTGTCAGGTATGCACTACGACAGACTTTGAGAACATGTCTAACTTTTTAAAATATCATACGAGCCCTGAAATCTCTCAGAGTGTCAGTTGCCTGGTCTCCCAACACAGGAGACTAGAAAACAAATTCAGAATCTGAGAGCTGAATAAAAAATTTCAATATCATCTGCAATTCATAAGAACACCCTCTACTAAGCCAAAATTCTGAAATGTTTCTCATACCTAGAGCATGCTGGAAAACCAGTTTGGCACAAATGATAAGAATATATGGGAGACTCTTCTGAAGCCACAGAAAGATGTACCGAAGTTCTGAAACTGAGCTGGAGGATTCCCTGTTATCTAGTTCAGATCTTTCTTCAGCAGGACCCTCTGATCTGGGATGAGAATGTGAGTGACCATGTGAATGAGAAGAGTTTGAACGCTGGGTATCTGCCCCAGATCTGCTGCGCTGGCCTTCAGATGCTTCCACCTGAATTTGAACTTCATCTTTGGAAGGACGTGGCACGCTCTCTGGAGTCCCAACAAATAAAGCAGGACGTGAATCCATGCTTTCTCCTACAGCTCCATTTAATGGCGACGTGTGGTGATGGCTGATGCCTGTGTGCATAGTGACAAATTCTTTCTGCTTTTCAGATCCTCTTCCTGCTTGGCTGTTCAAAGTTCCTGATTTATGCAGTCCTCCAAAGCTCTGACCCGAGTGTCTCCTACAACATTAAACATCAAAACAGTGCATTAGCTCCAACACTAGAAATCAATTGACATTTTATCACAGAGGAGGTATTTTGGATAAGTTAGCCTCTTTAATATCCTTTCTGCTGCTAAAAGGACAAGTGCACAGTCCCTTCTCACCTAAGCTAGCATCCAGCTTCTGGGAGACGGAAACAGAAACAATACAGGAGTGCCTCATCCTGATTGCAGTCACACAGAAGAACAAGAGACTACTTTAGTATGTGTCCATCTCACTTGGTTCTGGTTATAATGTTTCGTAGTTATATTTGTATGCATTTTGCAAAGTTACTATCTATATTTGTTGGGAACCTGTAGTCTAGTAATAGCTCTTGCAAAATAATCTGAGAGCTGCTTGGTAAATACAAGATCATTATTGTATTCAAGGATTCTTCTTTGAGGGGGAAACATCAAGACATTCTTCTGGAATACATCATTCGGCTTTTGGTAATGTTGGCTGAGAGAGTAATTTATTCAACTGATTCAGACAAAAGGGTAGTGCTATAGCACCTCCCCTCATCACAATTCCTCTAAAGCTTCTTATCAGGCAATGAAATATTTTTGAAGTACAGGTCATTTTTATAATGTAGGAAACACAGAAACCATCCATGTAAATAGCAAGCTCCTGCAGACAGCAATGAGATAAATGATCAGATATCTGTTTCGGTAATGCCGCTTGAAGGATAAATATTTATCAGTACATTGGGGATAACTACACCACTTTACCCTTCAAAATAATGCTAACGGATCTTGTGCATCCATCTGGGAGAATACACAGGACCTTGAATTACTATTCAAAATTTGATTCAAAACAAGGGATGGGGCACCAACAATATAGCACTTGCCCCTCAGCACAGGGAATGTCAAAGTGGATTTTTGTCCTCAAATTTTTGAGTGTTTTAAGACCCACTGTTGATCACCCAATCTAGCTGAGGGAGTGCTGAAATGTCAGATGTGCTGTTGTTGCGATAAAGGCAGTAAGCAACAACTTTATATTAAGAAAAATAACTGCAAATGCTGAAAATCCAAAATGATGACAAAAATTGCTGGAAAAACTCAGCAGGTCTAGCATCATCTGTGGAAACAAAGCAGAGTTAACATTTTGGGTTCAGTAACCTTTCTTCAGAACTGATTTTACTGAGGAAAAGTTTGGTATATATGCTGATGATGGAAAGGCGGGGTTTGGATAGTATACAATACGTGGCGATGCAGCCCAGAGAGAGGTAGGGTAAACAATTGGGCAGACAAAGAAATGGGTAAAGATCAGCCTGGGAGAATCAATAGCTGCTAATAAGGACCAATAGTGGCTGACAACGGGTTATTTGTGATAACAGCCTACATCATGACAAGTTCTGGTGATTGGGGTTTGGGGTTTGGGGTAAGGACGTGGAAGAAAATGCCCAGGCCCTAAAATTATTGAACTCTATATTGAGTCGAGAAAGCTGTAGGGTCCCCAAGCAGAAAGTGAGATGTTCTTCTTCCAACTTGTGCTGAGCTTCACTGGAGCACTGCAGCAAGCCTGTGACAGGGACGTTGGCCAGGGAACACAGTGGTGTGTGGAACTGGCAGGCAAGAGGAAGCTCAGGGTCGATAGAACGTGGAGCTGGAGGAGCACAGCAGGTCAGACAGCACTTGAGGGGCAAGAAAATCAGGCCTGATGAAGGGTCCCAACCCAAAACGTCAACTTTCCCACTCCTCAGATGCTGTGTGACCTGTTGCATTTCTCCAGCTCCACATCTTATTGATTCTGACTTTCAGCATTTGCAGTCCTTGCTATCTCTGGGAAACTCAGTCTTTTTTTTTTTGCAGACAAAATATAGGTTTTCAATAAAGTAGTCTCCCAGCCTGTGTTTCATCTCCTTACTGTAAAGCAGGCCACATTGTGAGCAGTGAATACAGTAGACTAGATTGAGTGAAGTGCAGGTAAATCACCACTTCACCTAGAAGCTGTATCTGGGACCTTGGATAGTGAGGAGGGAGGAAGTAAACAGAAAGGTGTTACATTTTCTGCAATTGCATGGGAAGGTGCATGGGTTGAAGGAGGAGTGGTCCAAGGTGTCCCAGAGAATGGTCCCAAAAACTTGGTTCATCAGTTTAAGTGGACAGGAACGTATTCCAAATGTTAACTAAAAATTTGTTGCTGAACCATTACAACCCCCAACTGGCTGTCAGATTTCACTGCATAACAATAGTGGCACTTCAATAATAGTTAATCGCTTTGCAGCATTTTAAAGGGTTTTGAGAAGATTACTTGCTTGCTATAAACACAAGGCGTTTGCATTTTGGGGAGGGAGGAAATACATAGGACTTCGGAACTTATCATTCATAAGTAAAAGAAAAACATCGAAATCCCTTATCAACAGCTACAGTTTCAATACAGCCGAAAGTGAAGCAACTAGGTCTCAACAGGTTATTTGTTGAGGGAAAAAAAAGAAAAATCCACGGGTCTATTCACATTAGCCGCGGGTATTTCTGTAAGAATGAGTTACTGGGTATTTACCTGTCATTTTGAGGCCGGTGTTTCATGCTGGAAGAAGGCCAGCTTCCCCCCCCCAACCTTCAAACTGCCATTTCCTCAGCCAATGTCACAAACCAACTCCGGAAGAGGTCATAGGTGAGAGGTCATATTTTTACCCTCTCCAATTATATATTTCTAAAATTGAAATTAGGACAAGGCGAGGCATAGGTAACGCGTTTTTATAAACACACCCTCATTTTCTGTGTAATTTGGAAAAATATTTGACTTTTCTTTGAAAGGCCAACCGTCCACTGACGTAGTGACGTTCGATATGCTCTGTTACTGTAGCAACGAGTTTAACAGAGCACTGTGGACAGGTAAATATTTAATTCGTAGCTTTGGCTTCTAATATTTCATAAATAGATTAGCATATTGTATTATTATGACCTCCATTACCTGCCTTTCTAGTCTTTAATCTATTTTTTGTCTCATCTGTTAAATACAGCGCTTGTTTAAGACTGCTATTCCTGTCATGGGGAAGGTGGAAGAGAGTTTTTCAAAGGTGAACTGTAGTTACTGGAAACAGGTGGATTTCATTGACTATGATGTCCTTGATTGGGGTTGTTAACCTGGGTCAATCAGGGAGCCGTAGGCAACAGATAAATAAGGAGGCTAAGGAAGCTGGGTGCGAGCAGATTGTGCTCCTGTATCCTAGTATTTGGTTCCAAAAAAGCTTTGTCATTAACCATATTGTTGACACTCAATATTAAGCCTATGCACAAGGTGCTTTGTTTGGGCAATACCCATGGTAGAATGAAAGCTCAGCAAGGAGACATCAATGCTTCTAGTTCCCAGCACAACCCTCTAATCTCTGTGCATACCTCTAATTGTCCCCTTTTGCAGATCCTGGATTCTCATCACTCCACCATTGGCACAATACATTCAGCTGCCTATATGCTAAACTCTGGAATTCCCTCCCTAAACCTCATTATGTTTCTCTCTTTTAACATGTTCCTTCAAGCTTGCATGTACTAATGTATCTTTATGTATCTCAGAGGTGTTTTGTATGTCTTAGAGGTGTTACATAAATATGAGTTATTATTGTTTGTTGAACCATTTCCTTAGTACACCTATTATCCCAGGGGAGAAGTTTGTGACCCAGTGAAATTCTCATGTGAGTGTTGGGCAAAAGCAAGTTCAGCATTGGCTGTAATATCCCTGTAGGTAAAAAGCCTGTCAGTTTGTACTGCCACACATTGCACATGACAAGTGACCATTTAATTGAGGTATTCTGAAAGTAGGTACCTGAGCCAAAAACAAGCTATATATATAAAAATTGCAGAAATAAAATAGTTTCAAGTGACTTTTCATAATTTTTGTATTGTGTTGACACTGTTTCCAAAGTGTAATTTATTTCAAAGGTCTCCTGCATAACATTTCACAAAACTAGACTAACTTGTCAGCAGGTTATTGTTTATATTGCAGTTTGGACTTTTACACATCATTGATAGTAGTTCAATATCTCAAGAAGCTCTGAAATTCATCCGGGGTTTACCATGAATTACCATCCTTTCAATGTGGATTGGCTGGACTCTAGTCTCCAAGCAACATTGTTACCTGGGAAACCATGGCACAAGGTGAGCACATTGACTGACTGGATTTCACAATTCGTAAATCTGTACAAAGCATCTATGGAGTATTTGGTCATACGGAGAAATCCCGTGGATTTACATCAGGATGTATGGTGAATTCTGGAATAGCCTATCAATTAGAGCACTTGCATGTAAAGAAATATAACTTAAATGGAGGAAAATCTGATGGGCATCTTTACAGTGGTGCTCTCTCATGGACTTCCTAATAATTTGCTGTTCCCAGGCAATCTGGTGTAACTGGCAGTACGTCTGGGAATATCTCCCTTCATGTATTGATCCACCTGGCTATGCAAAGGCTGAATGCATCTCTTAAAAAGCTTTAAAATGTTTTTAAAAAATAAGAAAGCGGTCACTTTCAGATGTTTCATTCTGACCTGTAGCCAGATGTTTATTGCACCTTCTAATCTGAATACCCTTCAACAGACAACCCTTAGGTGTAAGTATTGCTGCTCCTCAGCGGCAGAGCATTAATAGATTGTGCACTACAGGCTATATCACTCTTATAAACCAATATGTCATCCAATTTCCTATAAGCAAAGTTGCAGGAAATCATTGTCTCTACTCACCTTGTTGCTATACAATGAGCAATTTCAACAAGAGAGGATTCAGCCATCTCCTTTTGACATTCAGTAGTATTATCATAGCTGAATTCCCCTTGTCAATATTTGTGTTGTCATTGTGCAGAAACTAAATAGTGTCTTACTAGAAATTCTTTCCTGACAGCACTATGGATGTACCTATAGCGATTCAAGAAAGCAATTCACTGCGATCACCTCTCCAAGAGCAATTGGGATTAGATAAATATCCACCTGGAAATTCAGTAGTGGTTCTGCCAATTTCCTGCTTTGGGTTTAGTGGCAGATAGAGGGAGGCCTCGGAAGAAGAGTTTGCATTGTTTTGTCACAGTTCTATGTAGCTGTTCCCTCAGTAAATCTCGATGGTTCTACTTGAACTGTTAAAATTTACAGTAAGTTTTGATTAAGAAAATAAAGTGAAACTGTTTCCACTGGTCTGGCAGAAGGATTAGAAACTAAAGGACAAAGATTTAAGATACTGTGATTGGTAGATAAATCAGAAGGGAGATCAGGAGAAATTCTTATGTGCAGAGCATTGTAATGTTCTGGAGTACACTACTTGAAATGGTGGTAGATGTAGAGTCAATAGTGACTTTCAAAAGATAATTCAATATTTGTTCAATAAGCATTCGCAGGGAAAGTGTATGAGAGTTTAACACAATTACACAGCTCTTTCAAAGAACCAGTACAGGCACAATGGGTGCAAAGGACTCCTAAGTTTGCAGCACCATGAATTGTACAAAAATTCAGCTTGTGACACTACCTCTATCCCACCACTAAAGGTACCATTCTTCCTCATGTGAGGAATGGGTCAATGACTATCTGTAGCTGTCATTTGCAAGGTAAGTACAAATGAGAGAGGCACCCTAACTGGGAGGAATAAAAGCACTTAGACATGTGAATGAGGATCAGTAGTATTCTATTCAGCCCCTTGAACCTGTTTTGCCATTCAATAAAATCATGGCTGATCTGATTGTAATCTCTTTTCCACATTCCCGCCTACCCTTGATAATTGTTCATCTTGCTTCTATCCACCTCATTTCTTTTGTGTTTTTTTTGCATCTCTACTAAAATGTGATGTATGGCATGTTACACCTTGAGTGCAGTTTAAAAAAAAAGCATACATTCTGTGTTCTGTGAAACACAGACCTGAGATTTCTCATGGCATGATATTTGCACAGTTTCTTGGCAGTGCAAAAGACCAAAGCTCCGAAAACTGAAGTTTAAAAAAGGATAAAAACTGAAAGAACTGCAGATGCTGTAAATCAGGAACAAAAACAAAAACAAAGTTGCTGGAGAAGCTCAGCAGGTCTGGCAGCATCTGTGAAGGGAAAAACAGAGTTAACGTTTTGGGTCTGATGACCCTTCCTCAGAACACTAAAAACTAAGAGGATTTTGCTAAACCTCAAAAGAATTGGAAGGCAAAAAGATTGTAATTGATTTTAAAGCAGATGGTTCTGTGTAAAAGTTTGTTCCATACTTAACATTATTGTGCTTTATATTTTGTTGACCTCAGATATGTGAGAAATTGGAACATGCTCTTGCTCATGAACTTGAAGGTCATTTGAAGAATCCTGAGCAAAGACAGATAATTTTTCAACTACTGGGGATTCCTTATGTACAGAAGCACTTCAGCAACTATCCAGATCAGCTCAGTTTACTGGTGAGTACTGTATGGAAAGGACTATTTCATACAACTGTTAGTCATCTAAGGAATGTTTCAGTTTTATATTTCTGTGAAGCCAAACTTCAGTAGATTGTTCACAGGAAATTTAAAAGTATTTTGTTTAATAATGGTGGGAACTTTATAATATTTAATGAATCTTCAATGACAATGCTTACAGTTAACCAAAGGAAATATTCAAGTTGACAGAACATAGGGCTGTTTTGTCATTAGAGAGAGACTAGGTGGTGGTTTAACTTGAGAGTCACACACCTCTGGGCAAGGGAGCGGCTGAGAAGGAGAGTCCTTCATGCAACTTGTGCCAGTGCAGGAATTGAACCCATGCTGTTGGCAAAACCCATCAAGCCAACTGACAATATAGAACACTTTTCTTTCAAGTTGCAAAACTTTCCTGTTTTCCTAATAGTAGTCCAACTGCCACTTCCATTTATAGTCCCAAAAAAAACTGAAAAAAAATGTGGTCTCCTTATCATCTAAAATTTGACTTGAACAACCCATTTAAACAGCGTATCAGAGTGCCTGTCAATGTCAATAGTTCTTTTACAATAATAATTTCAGTGCCTTTGGGAATTTTGTTCCCTGTGAAAAGCCAGGTCCAATGTGCAATACTGGTGAGTAATAAAATGTATATTTGTTTAAATCTTAGTCATTTTTGTCAGTTTCCAGAGTACCATTACTAAGAAGTGGTGGCTTGACTCATAGACGTTCGTTGAAAATGGTGAAAGACTCAATTTCTTTTACAATTACCTACAATTACAAGTAGGTACCAACAATATAGGTGGAAAGAGGAAAGAGGTTCTGCTGAGGGAATATGGGCAACTAGGGGCTAAATTAGAAAGCAGAACCAAAAAGGTGGTAATCTCTGGATTACTACGTGACCCACGAGCAAATTGGCACAAGGTCAACAAGAATAAAGAGGTGAATATGTAGTTCAAAGATTGGTGTGAGAGAAACAGGTTTGAATTCATAGGACATTGACATCAGTACGGGGGAAGGAGGAAGCTGTTCCAGTGGGGACGGGTTCCACTTGAATCATGCTGGGACTAGAGGCCTGGCAAATCGCACAACTAGGGCTGTGGTTAGGGCTTCAAACTAAATATCAGGAGGGTGGGTTCAGTTGTTTGGAAGATTATGGAAACAGTGGTGAGATCAGCGGAGGTTAAAGTTTCCAGAACAAGTAATAGGACAGAAAGTGTGGAAAAGGTCAAGAATCTAGGCACTGCACCTAAAGGGACAACTATGAGAAGGAGACAGTCAACACACGACTGAGGGTGTTTTACTCAAATGGATGCAGTATATGAAAAGTTAAATGAGCTTGTAGGTCAGATTGAAATTGGCAGATATAATGTTGTGAGTGTCACAGAGACATGTCTGCAAAAGGATCAGGGCTGGGAACTAAATATCTAAGGATAGACCACCTATCAAAAGGACAGGCAGAGGGGTGGGGGGGGAGGGAGGTGGAGTTGCCTTGTTAGTAAGAAATGAAACTAAATTGATAGCAAAAAGTGATATAAAGACAGAAGATGTAGCATCTGTGTTTGGGCAGAGTTCAGGAACTGCAAAAGAAAAAAAAGTTCTTCAGGTCAGAAGGGTGGCCATGGGTATCCGCATGGGCCCCTGTTATGCCTGTCTCTTCGTTGGGTACTTGGAACATTCCTTGTTGCAGTCCTATTCCGGCCCCCACCAACAACTGTTCCTCCGATATATTGATGATATAATCGGTGCTGCTTTCCTCTCTTGTCCGGAATTGGAAAAGTTAATCGATTTTGCTTCCAATTTCCACCCTGCTCTCACTTTTACCTGGTCTATCTCTGACTCCTCCCTTCCCTTCCTCAACATCTTTGTTTCTGTTTCTGGGGATGACTGGCCACTAATATCATCATATTAGATGAAGCCAACTTCGACAAGGGAGCCTCCGAAATGTCCCCCTTCTTCTTCAGCCGAGGATTCCCAAGCATTGTTGTCGACAGGGTCCTCAACCGGGTCCGACCCATCTCCCACACTTCTGCCCTCACCCCCTCTCTTCCCTCCCACAACAGCAGTAGCATTCCCCTTATCCTTACCTACAATCCCACCAGCATCCCACATCCAGAAGATCATCAGATGCCATTTCCGCCACCTCCAGTGAGATACCACCACCGGACACATATTCCCCTCCCCTTCCTTGTCTGCGTTCAGCAGAGACCATTCCCGCTGGGACACACTGGTCCACTCTTCCTTCACCCCCAACATCCCCCACAGCACTTTTCCCTGCCACCGGCAAAGGTGCAACACCTGACCATTTACCTCCTCCCTCCCCAGTATCCAAGGACCCAAACGTACCTTCCAGGTGAAGCAACATTTCACCTGTACTTCCTAAAATCTAGTTTACTGCATTTGCTGCTCACAGTGTGGTCTCCTCCACATTGGGGAAATGAAGCGTAGACTGGGTGACCACTTCACAGAACATCTACGTTTTGCTCGCAAAAAAGTCTGAACTTTCAGTTGCCCGCCACTTTAACACTTTAACCACCCTGTTCCCTGGCCAACATCTCTGTCTCTGGCTTGCTCCAGTGTTCCAGTGAAGCTCAGCGCCAGCTGGAAGAACAACACCTCATTTTCCACTTGGGGACCCTGCAGGCCTTTGAACAGCCTAATCTGCGACTATATCTTATGGTCTTATGATCTAATTAATATGCAACTTTTTCAAAATTAGTGAGAATACATATGGAGACCTAATATTTCGGACTTGGGTGTAGAATTATTCAATACTTTATGCTAATTAAGTGTAGCATAAATAGGAATTAACTTAATTTTTTTACTAAATTTTTTTGAGAAGATTTGTATCTTGGGTTGTGGACAAGGTTGTAGACTTGTTCACCGGGCCGGTGTGTTTGAAAGCAGTGTGACGAAACATCTGCAAGGTAACATTGTCAGTGTGCCTCCAGTGAAGCGTTGGTGTTGTGTCCCGCTTATAATTTATATGCCTTGGTTTGCTGGGGTGGTCGGCATCACTTCCGGTTCTGTTTTTCAGCAGTTTGTATATCAGGTCCAATTGAATGTGTTTGTTGAACTCCATCGACAAATATATTGAACTGGACCCAATGTTCAAACCACTGAGAAACAGAACCAGAATTGATGCCAACCACTCCAGCAAACCAAGGCATATTAATTACAAGTAGGACAGAATACCACCGCTTCACTGGAGGCACACTGTCTTTGTTACCTAGCAGGATGACAAAACATCTGCATTCAAACACAGCAGCCCGGCGAGCAAGTCTACAACGTTCTTACTGTTGTCTCATTTTAATTGTTACAATTATCATACTGTAGAACTCAAGTGGCTTAAGTTTAAACACAAAAAAACAGAAATCTGGAAAAGAACAGAGTGCTGGAGAAAAACAGCAGGTCTGGCAGCATCTGTAGAGAAAACAGAGTTGACATATTGAATCCAGTGACCCTTCATCAGGGCTAAAGATAGCTCAGGAAGGGTAGGATTTATGCTAATGATTGGGTGGGAATAGAATACAGTACATGGACACAGTGGCTAGAGAGAGAGAGAAGGAATAGGCAGATAAAGAGTTTGCATGTGATAAGCCAAGAGAGAGATAATAGGTGGGTGAGGTGCTAACGAGAAGTGCAAATGTTTGAAAAAGAGTTGGCTGTGCTGGGAGCCGCCCATACACGATGGACCTAGAGGTCTGGGGAAGAGAAGCATCAGGGGAGAGGGTGCTCCATGTTCTGAAATTGTTAAATTCTGAAGAAGTCCTGTTCTGAAGAAGGGTCACTGGACACGAAACGTTAACTGATTTCTCTCCACAGATGCTGGCAAACCTGCTGAGCTTTTCCAGCAAGTTCTGATTTTTGTTTCTGGTTTCCAGCATCCACAATTGTTTTGGTTTTTTTTTGTTACATTGAGTGATGAGTCCTGAAGAATGTCTTGGCAGAAGTTGAGGTGTTAATTTTTTAAAATATAAACGAATAAGTATATTATGCAATTCCTTTGTTATTATATGATGAGACACTAATATAAATGGGGTTTAAAAGAGTAAAGGAATTTCAAACAAATGTATTAAATATTTTAAAAGGTACTATTCACAGAGCTTCATTTTAGCTTCAACTATCTTCTTGAATCCATTTTTTCATTCTGTAGAGTTAGCATTCAGAATTTTAATTAAGAGCTTAATTTTTAAAAATGCTAAAGCTATTCAGAATTCTTCATAATTTCTAATCTTCCATAGTTTTGGACTGCAAACAAAATAATTTTTCAACTCTGTCTTTGTCTTCCTCTGAAACAGCAAACACCCAATATGACTGCTAGCCAACATGAGCTTCAACTGCAGAGTACACAAGTTTGGCTACAAGATCTGCTGACGAAAGTAGCCAAACAGTGCGGCTGCCAAAGGAATCCAGGTGATACTATGGATTCAAATCTCCTACAACTGTTTTTAACTAATGGTCATGTAGTTTATTATGTTGAGGTTGTTGGCTTGCTTACTGAGCTGGCTGGTTATCGTACAGATGTTTTATCACCATGCTAGGTAACATCATGTGTGCGGCCTCCGATGATGCAATGTTGTTCTACCCCATGTGGTATTTGTATGATCCGGCCTGTTAAGTTGGATTGTGTCATTTCTGGTTCTGTTCTGCATTGGTTTGTATATGATGTCTAATTCCACATGTTTGTTGATTGCATTATGGGTTGAAAACCAGGCTTCTAGGAATTCCTGTTTGTGTCTGTGGTTGGTACAACCCAACTTAACAGACCAGATCATATAAATTCCAAGCAGAGTGGAACAACATTACTTCATCAGAGGCCACACTGATGATGTTACGTAGCATGGTGTCAAAACGTCTGTATGATAACCAGACAGCTTGGCAAGCAAGCCACAACCTCATCCACAACCCGAGCTACAAATCTTTGCAAGAACCTTAAAGTTTATTATGTTATTAGGGCTAGCAGAATCTCTGCCAAACTTGTTGTGGTCATGGTCATGAGCTTCTGCATTAATGAGCGTGAAGAGGTGGTATGACAAGTTCTCTAACTAAAAATTCATAACGTCTCCATTATTGCGGAGATGTTATGGAGATCTGTCCTCCAAAATGAGCATAAAAATGCTGTGCATACTTTCAAGAATATTCTGCTTTATTGTCCAGGCATTCATAGAGTATACAACATGGAAACAGACCCCTCGGTCCAACATGTCCACACTGGCCAGACATCCCAATCTGACCTAGTTCCATTTGCCAGCATTTGACCCATATCCTTCTAATTCATATACCTGTCCAGATGTGTTTTAAAAATTGTAATTGTACCCACCACTACCTCTTCCTCTGGCAGCTCGTTCCATATATGCACCACCCTCTGCGTGAAAAAGTTAGCCCTCATGTTCTTTTCAAATCATTCCCCTCTCCCCTTAAAGCTATGCCCTGTAGTTTGGACTCCCCCACCCTAGGAAAAGACCTTACCTATTCACTCAGTCCATGCCTGTCATGATTTTATAAACCTCTATAAGGTCACCCCTCAGCCTCAGATGCTCCAGTGAAAAAAGCCCCAGTGTATTCAGCCCTTCCCTATAACTCAAACCCACCATTCCTGGCAAATTCCTGTAGATCTTTTCTGCACCCTCTCAAGTTTAACTACGTCCTTCCTATAGAAGGACAATTAGAATTGTACATAGTATTCTAAAAGTGGCCTCAGTGTATATGAAAAGGATATTCAGGCCATCATTGCTTTACTGTTTACTGTATCCAAATTGGCAGCCATGTTTCCCACAATAGTAAAAGTATTTAATTGGTTGTAAAGCATTTTAGAAATGTTGTAAGTCATGAAAGGCTCAATTTAATGTGAGTCTTGTTGTTTTCAGTGTTGCAATGGATGAGCTTGCTATTGTAGCTGCAGTCCCATGAAGGTATTGAGTGGTTGCCAGGTATTTTCCCACAAGAAATGAGGAAAATTATATCTGGTTATCCTAGATCTTTCTTGTGATTCTCCTAACAGTTACATTTGATGATCATTGACAAGGCAACTGTTTCTCTTTTCATTCTCTTTTATGTATACTTCATTAGCTTGCATTTATTTAACTGTGATACCCTGGGATTCTTGTTTCTGAATCAAAAAGTAGGGAGTTGAAATTCCACTCCAGAACATGCGTACATAATCTTAGCTGATAATCAATTAATTAGGGATTCCGTACTGACAAAGGTATCATTTTCCATTTACTCTCTCGGGTCTACGTAAAAGATCCCATGGCACTACTCTATGGTGAACAGATGTATTTCTTCTTGCCTTGACAGTATTTATCCCTCAACCAAAATCACTAAAATAGTTGAGTTAGGAATTTATTTCTGTGCTCTTTGTGGGATCTTGCCATGCTGAGGAAAATAAGAATAAATGGTTTGTCACAGGAAAGTATCACAACTTGCCTTAGGTCTTGTATAAAATTATTTATATGATATTTCAATAAATTTTAAAATTTATATTTCATTCTGCTGCATCAAAAAAGGCAGTAACTTCCAATGTGTTACATTGATTTATACACTGAGGCAAAGATAAGAAAATCAGTTATATTGAGTGTTGAATTATATTGCTGTTGGTAACTAACATTTTATTATTGAACATAACAGAAAAGTTTGATATTTTAAAAAAAAAACTGGGTGTTCACTATAATCAATGGTATTGAAATTTTGTTATGATTAATTCTTCAATTGTTGCTGTTATCAATTCCTGTGCATTACTAGTTTCATAAATGCTGACTTTTCTTAGCCATTAATCTCTGATCCTTCACCTATTTGGATCTCCTAATTTTACTAATCTATGTACTAATTTGTAATAAATGTACAACCTACATTTAGATCTAAAACTGTAATTTTAGATTCAACGTATTATTGCAAAGTTTGTTTGGATTTCTGTCTTTTGTTGCAGTGATCTGCTTTCTAAACCATTCTTAATCTCTGTCTTCAATCATAAACTAATGCTGGTGGAAGTTAACATATTGTTGCAAACTGAAAGTTGATTTTATTTCAGTTGCATTACCGCCTAAAGATTAAAAAGTCAAATAAAAGTTAGAAACAAAACCAAAACTGAAATTGCTGGAGAAACTCAACAGGTTTGACAGCACCTATGGAGAGAAATCAGAATTAACTTTTTTTTTATTGCAAAGATTTACTTTATTCATAGAAGGAAATCTTTATGTACATACACAGTTCATGAAGCCGTTCAGATCTATACTGCCTTTACTTGCAGAGAAGAAAACAATCATTCGCGTTTGGCTTTCTCTATATTTACAATTAAACTCTTGGCTTTTAGCTGAGGCTTTGGGGAGGGTCCAATTACTGGATGGCCCCCCATTATGCTTTGGCAGAAGGATGATATACAGTGGTCTTTCCCCGCTGCGCCTTGGCGGCAGCTTCCCCAAGCTTTAGTGCATCCCTCAGCACGTAGTCCTGGACATTGAAATGTGCTAGTCTGCAACACTCAGTTGAGGTCGACTGTTTCAACTGGAAGACCAGCAAGGTTCAGGCAGAACAAAGAGTGTCTTTCACCGAGCTGATGGTCCTCCAGGTGCAGTTGATGTTTGTCTCGTTGTGCATCCCGGGGAACAGACCATAGAGCACAGAGTCCCACGTCACAGAGCTGCTCAGAATGAACCTCAACAAAAACCACTGCATTCCTCTCCAGACATGCTTTGCAACGGCACATCCCAGAAAGAGATGTGTGACATTCTCGTCCCTCCACAGCCACTTCGAGGGCAGCATGTGGTGATACAGAAAGTCCGGGTATGCGTGAAGAATCTCATAGACAGAGTCCTTCTCACCACCAGCCAAGCAATATCCTGGTGCTTTTTGGAAAATCCTGGTGATGAGGCATTCTGTCAAATGACTGATAGTCTGCACAGAGAACCACTCAACAAGATCCATCCTCTCCTTTTCCCGAAGGTTCTCAAGGATGCTACGTGCTGACCACTGCCTAATGGCCTTGTGGTCAAAAGTGTTTTCCTTCACAAATTTCTGCACAAGGCACAGGCGATATGGAACGGTGCAACTACTTGGAGCATTCCACAGCGACGAGGCCAAGCCCATCCTTCGCAACACATGGGATAGGTAGAACCTCACTAAGTAGTGACACTTAGTGTTTGCATACTGAGGGTCTAAGCACAGCTTGATGTAGCCACACACAAAGGTGACCATCAGGGTGAGGGTAGCATCAGGTATGGTTTCGCCCCTTTGTCCAGTTTTTTATATGGGATGTCCCTTTGGACACAGACCATCCTTGACCTCCACATGAAATGATAGATGGCCTGGGTGACTGCAGCTGCACAGGTTTGGGGAGTAGGCCAGACCTGTGCCACATACAGCAACACTGAGAGTACCTCACACCTGATGACCAGGTTTTTACCCAAAATGGAGAGGGACCAGTGCTCCCATCTGTCTAGTTTCTGCTTCGCTTTGGTGACATGCTCCTCCCAAGTTTTGGCACACACCCCAGCCCCTTCAAACCAAATACCCAGCACCTTCAGGTAATCTGACCTGACAATGAAGGGGATAAAGGATTGGTTGGCCCAGTTCCCAAAGAACATGGCCTCGCTCTTGCCTTGATTTACCTTGGCACCCGAGGCCAGTTCAAACTGGTCGCAGATGCTCATGAGTCTGTCCGCTGACAGTGGATCCAAGCAGAAAACGGTGACATCATCCAGGTACAGGGAGGCTTTAACCTGCAGGCACCCACTGCCTGGAATAGCCATTCCTCTCAAACTTCCATCCTTCCTGATCAATTCGGCAAAAGGCTGTATGCAACACATAAACAACGCAGGAGAGACCAGGCAGCCCTGCCTGACTCCAGATCTGATTGGGAAGATTTCTGATTCCCACCCATTAATTGATACTGCACTAACGATGTTGGTGTCGAGCAGTCGGATCCAATTGCAGATTCCCTCCCCAGAGCCAATTTTGGAGATCACGTCCCACATGTATGTGCGCAATATTCTGTTGAAGGCCTTCTTTTGGTCCAAGCTGATGAGGCAGGTGTCCACCCCACTGTCCTGCATGTAGGAGATCGTATCCCTGAGGAGCATGAGGCTTTCAGTGATCTTCCTGCCCGGTACAACACAGATTTGGTCAGAGTGAATTACTGATCCCAGAGCAGACCTGACCTGGTTGGCAATGACTTTAGATGGGATTTTGGAATCTACATTCAACAGTGAAATTGGTTGCCGATTTCTAATTTCCTCCCTCTTCCACTTCCGTTTGTAGATGAGGGTGATGATACTTTTCCTCAATGATACGCTCATGGTATCTGCCAGAAGCGTACTGTCACACACCACCAGCAGATTCTGGCCAATCAAGTCCCACTGAGCAGAATACAACCCAGCTGGTAAGCCATCACTTCCTGGAGTTTCAAAGATAGTAAGAAC